GGGCTGCACCGGTACGCCGGAACGGCCGGAACGCGCCGGGAGTCGCGCGCTCCGGAACACAGCCTTCTGCCGGCGCACGCGCGCGGCGCGCGCCGGAACATGTCTGAGGAGTTCGTGCTGTCGGATTCGATCTCTGCGGCTGCGGTGTGCGCGTCCCGATTCGATTTTGGCAGCCCCGTATATATTGCCGTTACAGTTTGACACATCGAACGATATTGACCTCCCCTGTGCTGTTTTCTGTCCGGTTGTAGGTTCGAATACCCACGCGCGCGTCGTCGTCGTCGTCGTCGGCGGCGGCGGCGGCGGCGGCGGCGGCGGCGGCGGCGGCGGCGACGATGCTGCTACTACTCTAGATAAATTTGGCGCACCTGTTGTGCACTGACGACGACCTGTGCCTCGCCTCAGGGTAATTTGGTTTTTGTGCCCTAGGTAGGGCGCCGTGCGTAATTTGCCTGGCCTGATGCCCAGCCCCCAGGGGCCTGACGCCCAGGTCTGAAGTCCCTGTCTCATGACGCGCACTAAGCGTGCCGTGAACGGGCAGTTGAGAAGACAAATCCGACCGGAAATCTACCGGAACACCGGAACACGCCGGAACACGCCGGAACACGACCGGAGGACGCGAACCGGAACACGCGACCGAGGGGCCCGGGAGAGCCGGAAGCCGGAACATCCGCGAGACCTCTACCGGAACATCAGGGCCGGAACATCAGCGCATTCGGTGTTTCACAATGGGAACCACCTGTGCTTTGAGGTAGGCGGCAGCCCTTAAGTAAGCGCAGTGCCCTCGCAGAATGCTACCGCTATTCTCAGCCCCACGCACCAATCGCCCGTTCACTATCGAAACCTCCTGGAGACTATTAAGAAAAATGGACACATTCTCTGACATGTGCCTTGCATGATCAAAGGAACTGAATTCTTCAAATTCGGGCTCTATATAACATATTGAACCCCGCTCCGGTGGTCTAAACTGAAGCCCACCCTCGTTAACGATGGAGGGAAACCGACGGTCCTCTGTCTCCCCAGGTGGAATTATCAAGTTTTGGAGAATATTATCATTTCCAAGTTTTATCAAATCCTGGAAAGATCTCATCTCCGGACGTAACTCATCGCCCTTCAGAAAGGCAAGGCCCATGACCTGATCAAAAATTCGATCCAAAGGTGTGAAAACTATACTCCGGTCTAATGCCGGCTCCCTCTCCCCCCCCAAGCAAATTTGCAAGGATGTATATTTGGGATCAGGGCATTCAAAACTCCGGTCTTTAACCCGGCTTTGGCTCTGGCCAGTGGCCCCACGGCTATTAAGAATTTCATCATGCCGTTGGACTTTGCGAGAAATCTCGTCCAATTGTCCAGCCATCTGGCCCACAGACTGCTGAAGCTGCAGCAGGATGTCATACGCTGACCCGAGTTCAGGGGGCTCCTTTTTGCGTTCCTCCTCGATTATCTCGTCATTGAGTCCGCTCAAATAACTGTGAAGCCTCTCCTCAGAAAACTCTGATTTATCAGAATTATCATATGGTAGTAATTCAAACATCAGAGCCAAGAGTGTGTTTTCATGGATAGGCGCCGGCGGGATGGCGCCGCCTGACAACATACCCATAGCCATATCACAGACCTCCAATTTCAAATGCTCAAGCAATTTATCATTCAATCCCAACCCCTGGTTGCCAGCAGAAACCATGACACCCAAAAAATATAAGCCGCGCCACCCCGGACCCCGGGGAAGCGGCGAGCTGGGAGAGGACCACCACAACCAGCAGTTTTATTTAGCTGGATGATGATAGGTGGTCTAAACTCACTAACTCGTTACCGGAAACATATTGTACTGCCG